CTCTCTCTCTCTCTCTCTCTCTCTCTCTCTCTCTCTCTCTCTCTCTCTCTCTCTCTCTCTCTCTCTCTCGCGTGAGCAAGTTTTCACACATTTCAGCGGTGTTGGTGGGGTTATTAGGGGTTCTGGATTTTTTATTTTTTTTTGGCGGGTGCCGACGATCCCCGGCCAGCTGATGGGTTGGCTGGTCAGCAACTGACTAGTCAAGGGCCGCCAACCGTCCAGGTGTGCAATGCCGCAGGGGATGGCACCTTGCACCATCAGGTGGTCCGTATCCGTATTGGCACTAACACCGAACCAGAAATTGCCAATCTCACACTCTATTGGGATGGAGCACAGTTCATTGACCATCTTCATCAGTGAGATCTGTGTGCAGCGCAGCATATGAAACCACATATCGGTTCATTGATGATATCCTATCCTGTAAGACATCTCCACCCCCTCCTGCTTGATATGGTCTCGAGTGGAAAGACACTACTGAGCAAGAGGGGTCATGTCTCTTCCTTGGCCCAAGAATCTTGATTCAGCCAGACGACTCACTTCACGTTGGTGTGTTTGCTAAGGCTGAAGCTTGGTTCCCTGTCATACGTTGTCCCAACGCCTCCTCCAATGCCCCAGCTCATCAGCCGGCAGGTGTGCTCACAGGATAGCTGACGAGGTTCGAGCATATCTGTAACAATACCGCCGACTTCAAAGCAGCAGTGACCTCCCTGACATGAAGTATGCTTGCTAGGTGCCATCCTCCCAGTGTCCACACCAGATGTTGGACTACGTATGTGCGTGGCCGGCAGCGTTGGCTTCCCACTCATGTCACCCGACTCCACCGGGCTTTCGAACTGGTTTCACCACATGGTGCGCTGGTCAATTGCTCACCCACAGCCGAATGCTAATTCCCCGGACAGGCAGCATCAGCCCTCCATGCAGCCACATGCAGTGGGCCCCCGCCCTCTCTCGAACACCAATTCTGAATGCAGCAGCAGCAGCCGTCCACACAGCCGAACACAATGGAATGGCAGCTGCTAATGTGGATACTGCAACTCACCTGCAAACCAGGCCAGCCGTAACAGACAACATAAATGTTGTCGAGGCACTGCAGGGGAGGATGGCATGCATCCTGCCAATTCGGCTGCTGCTGAAACTGTGCCACCACCACCACCACCACCACAATCATCACCACCACCACCAACACCAGCATCACTACCAGCTCCACCACCTCCATCTTCTGCTACATCATCCCCTCCCCTTTGCCAAAGCCTCCGCTTCTTCTTCCTCTTCCTCCTCTTCCTCCTCTTCCTCCTACTACTCGTACGCCTCATCCTCCCCTTTGGATGCCTCCCTTTCATCATCATCTTCATCATCAACACATTCATGCTCCAGATCGGATGCCACAAAGGTCTGGTCGGCGGAGGCATTCACGGTCAGATCTGCTGTCACAGACACCTCTTCGACGGAGAGGTTCCCTATCCCCACCGCTGCCTCGTAAGACAGCGGCCTTGTTTTCGTACTTGAACAGCATGACCATCAACCCCCCCGCAGAGGTTAGAAAGCTGCTCGGCCGCCACTCTTGCAACCATACGGAGCGAGGCCATCACTCCCAATACACACAAGCCACGAATAGTACATACCTAGCCCGGTGCCTACAATGTGGCGATGACTGTGCTGCAGGCTTGCGTGTGCACCAGACATGAGCTCTCGTCACCCGTGCAGCCTTTGCACGACTAGCAGCCTCTCTGAGTACAAGTGCGGCTGATCAGCCTGCGCTTCTTGCATCTGACGCACCCACTTCTCACCCACCTAGCCCTGACTGCGCTGCTGCTCCAACTGACAATCATCCACCTTCTGATCATTTGATGGAGCCCCCGACTGGAGATCTCTCTCCAGAATGCATGTTGGAGTCAATGGAGTCAGTGCAGCCAGAGGAACCTGATATAAATTGTCAAGACTGGATTGGACCTTCCTCTACCGTGCGATCTGCAGCATTGAATGAAGCTCCCCATGCCGTGCAATCTACATGATCAAATGGTCTGATGGTGCTATTGAGCCCACCGACTCTGCAATTAATGTATGTCTGCTCTCTTACAATTGCAACCCCTATACTCTGTCTGATTTTGCAAACATTGTCCGCTGGATAGAAGAAGAGGACCATGCTGTCTGTCCAGAGGATGACAGTACTATGCCTGGCATGAACATAAAAGTCCTGTCTATGGCATTTATGAGAAGACAACTGCAACTCCAGCCCGCTCCACAGATTTACACGCCAGACATGGACCTGAATATTCGTGCGTACATTCTGCATCGTCCAGGTCATTTCGGTGCTGTAACTGCTGTTACCTTCCGGATAATTCATGGACTCTATGGGACAATGGCGGTAGGGTGCACACAGTACTTCCAATAACCGAGTGCGGAATCCCACTTGGTATTTGTTGCATACTGTAACGGTGCAGACCAGAACAAGAACCGACCTCTCAATACAAAGTACAAGA